AGGCCAGCACCTTCATCTTATTGTCTTTTATAGTTTTATCTCCATTTCTACTCCAGTCTATTTCTGAGCACTAGATGCAGTGTCGGACATGGATTGCAGTTGATTTGTGGTCACAGGCTGGGAGTTGTTCTATTTTCTAGCACAGATCCTTATCCTGGGGTGTTTGCTCCTATTATTAACAGGTTCTTGACATCTACTCTATGCAAGCATTGCATTATTATAAAGGCAGGTCACTTAAAGATTTTCCTATGCTTTTCTGACAGATGGTTCCTCCTAGTGTGCATATTGGCTTTGTTCTGCTGCAATCTAGTTGTGAGTGTATGGAGGAAACCTGGCATCTTTACTCTCCCACCATCTTGCCAGACTCCATCCCTTCACTTTCACTGTATGTATGTTCTTACATCCAATGTGAGTCTCACACACAGCATATAACTGGCTCATGCTTTTTTTTTTTTTTTTTTAAAGATTTATTTATTTGTTTGTTTATTTATTTATTTATACAAGCACTGGGTACAGTCAGAAGCGCGGGAGGGTGGGAGAATTCATCAGAGCCAGAGCGGGGAGCAGAGCAGTCAGAAGGACCGAAGTACACTGCTGAGGGGAGCAGCGGGCGGCAGGCGAGGTCTGCGCGCCATGTGGGACCCTCCTCCAGTGGCCGGGGAGCAGCCAGGGATCGAACCGTCGCTGCAGAGGCTGCGGGCGGCTTCGCAACCCAGCGCTCAACCGCTGCGCCACCGGGGAGGCCCCCTACATTTTGTTTTTAGTGTCATGTTGTCCCACCAACTTTTACTTTTATGTATGTCTTAACTGATTGTTGTATCTTTGATTGATATTGGTCCTTTTTTCATTTTTCATGTTACCTTAAATGTAATTAGTCTACTGTTTTTATAATATATATTTTTTTCTGTGACAGTTTTACATTTCCATAGCTTCTTGTTACTTCTTTTAGTTTATAGAAGTTACTTTGACATTTTTTTGCAAGACCATGGTGATTAATTTCTCTAGCTTTTGTTTGTCTGCAAAACTTTTCATCTCACCTTCAGTTGTGAACAATAGACTTACTGGGTAAAGATTTGGGATATATGCTTTTTTTCTTTCAACACTTTTTTTTAAAGATTTATTTATGCATATAAGAACTGGGGTATAGACTAGAGGTGTGGGGGGTAAGAGGATTCACCAGAGACAGAACGGGGAGCAGAACAAGCAGATCTACTGATACATTGCTGAGAGGAGCAGTGGGCAAGGCAGGAGAGGTCTGCTGCACCATGTGGATCTCCTCCCTGGCCGGGGATCGAACTGGTGCTTCAGTGGCTGCGGATAGCTTCATAGGCTGTGTCTTAACCCCTTGCGCCACCACGGAGGCCCCTCTTTCAACACTTTGAATACATCATGCCAATCCCTTCTGGCCTACAAAGCTTTCTGAGAAATTTGCTGATAGCCTTATGGGAGTTCATTTTTCTCCTATTAACATTTCTTATTTATCATTAATTTTTCACATTTTAATTTTATTGTGTCTTGGTGTGGGTCTCTTTGTGTTTTATTTGTTGGGAACTCTGTGTTTCCTAGGCCTAGGTGTGTGTTTCCTTCTCTAGGTTAGGGAAGTTTTCTTCATTATCCCTTCATCTAAGTCTTCTGCCTCTTTACCTCTTTCTCTTTTCCTTCTGGAACTCCTATAATATGGCTGTTATTCCACTTGATGTTGTGCCATAGTTCCCACAAGTCAATTTCTGTGTATTTAATTAATTTTTCTTTTTGAGCCTCTGTTTGTGTAAGTCCTACTACTTTATCTTTTAGTTCACATACCATTTTTCAACTTCATCTAGTCTGGATTTGAACCCCTCAATTTTCCATTTCAGTTCTTGCATTCTTCTATCTATGTTAGAGATCTCTCTTAGCTCATTCATTCTATTCATTCTTTTTCTCAGATCAGTGAACATCTTTATGACCATTACTTTGAGCTATTTATCAGGTAGGTTATTTATGTCCATTTCATTAGTCTTTTACAGAGGTTTTTGAGGTTTTATCTTGTTATTTTATTTGAAACTTGTTCTTCTACTTCCCCATTTTCCTTGACTCTCTGTTTCTCTGAATTAGCCAAAGTAGTTGCCTCACTGCCATGGGGGTAGTTGTCTGCTACCAGAGAGCTGTGTCTCTGGTTATATATCTCAGTATTGTCTAGGAATGCATGCTTCCTAGATATTAGGGTCTAGCAATCAAGGGGTATCTCATATATGAACTTCCTGTGCCCAAAGATTTAGCTGTGGGCAACTGTAGAAGAATGGGGCATAGCTATAACTTTACTTTCTTGCATTTTCTGTCTCACTGTTGAAGTTCTAACTGTATTCACCTGCTGCTCTTTCCTGAGATTAGTATGCATACTTATGACCATCATTTTTTTTTTTAAGATTTATTTATTTATTTATTCATACAAGCACTGGGTACAGTCAGAAGCACAGGAGAATGAGAGAATTTACCAGAGTCAGAGCGGGGAGCAGAACAGGCAGAAGGACTGAAGTACACTGTTGAGGGGAGCAGTGGGTGCGGCAGGAGTGGTCTGTCATGCCATGTGGGACCCTCACCCAGCGGCCCGGGATGGAACCGGCACTGCAGAGGCTGCGGGCAGCTTCGCAACCCAGTGCTCAACCGCTGCGCCACCGGGGAGGCCCTGACCATTATTTTTTAACTTTTTTATTGGGTAAATAACTTATCCAGATTTCATTAAAGACTTTTTCTGAGGTTTTATCTTATTTCACTAAAAACATATTCCCATGTTTGTTAATTTTCCTTGACTTTCTGTTTTGGTGTCTATGTATTAGATAAAATAGCCACCTCTCCTGGTCTTGAGAGAGTGATCTTGTGTAGGGATGAATCTGATCACTCTGCCTTGCCCTAGCTCTTGGTTGTCTCTCAAAACTTTGTGACTGTCCAATTTATTTTATTTTTAGTGACTCCCAGAAATTTAGGGTGTACAAGACATGTCAATCTTCTAATGGAGAGTATCTTAGCAAATAGATTAAGGCTGATTAGAAGACAGACCCTTAGGTAGTAACTTTATGAAGTATGCAAATATATACAGTTTTATGGGACCACAGGCATTGAGTCCCACTCATCACCAGTGCTAGCAACCTAGAGGTGTACCCTGGGTGATATTTACAAAAATCAGTGTACCAAACAAATGTAGAAACTTCTTTGTAGGAAATACCAGCAACCAGAGGTGAGTGGGAGGGAGGCACAAAGAATACATCCACAGTCTCTGTTCCCAGAGAGTACCTCAATAGGCCCCTAGATGTGTGCTAAACCAAAAGCCTGCCATTCAGAGCAAAACTCCAAAACAATAAAATAGGCTCTTTTGCAGATAGACTAGGTATTTTTGTCTGTTGTCTGTGTGGTGTGCTAGGGGTGGTAGCCTGTCAAAAAACTGTCTTTTCAATTGTTATAGTTCTGTGAGACTTAGGAACTCAAGCCCCACTGTTCACAAGAACCAGGTAATCAAGGGTTATCTCCTGGGAAGCAGTAGCAAAAACTGGGGCACCAGATACACGTAAAGGCTCCCTTCTGGGAGATACTAGGGCTCTGGAGCAGGGCAGAAGAATAGTGTGGTGATGGTGTCTACCCACTGAGGTCTCTGGAAAGGATTACAGATGGTCCTTTGATGTGTGTTTAATTAGAAGCTTGCACCTCAGGCAGAAATTATGAAGATAAGCTAATAGGTCTCTTTCACAGAGAGATTGGGTTCCTCAGACTACTGCTTCTTGCTGTGCCCTACGGGGTGATAGCAGGTTAAGTTCTTTTTCTCCATTGATTGCAGTCTTGTGAGACCTAAAAGCCTAAGTCCTGTTGGCCACCAGATCCAAGAGATATAGAGATATCTCCTGGGTACAGTCACAAAAATCCTGGTGCCTGATAAGGGTGCAAACTCCTTTCTGGGAGAGATCTGGAGTGAGGCAGAGGGAACAGTCTTCTAAGAAAAAGCTCATAATTTAGTTTCTTCTTGTTCAGACTAATCAGTTTGACAGAAGCATCTAAGAAGCTAGAAAGTCTATGTCAGGTTTTCCTGACATCAACACTGTAGATATTGGGGTTAGACAGATCTTTATGCTGTTTTATATGCTGTAGGAGGTTTAGCAGAATCCAGGCTTGTACTCACTAGAAACCTGTAGCACAACCTCTACCTCTGAGTTGTAACAATCAAAAATGTCTTCAGACATTGTCAAATGTCTCCTGGGGGGGCGGGCAAAATCACCCCCTGTTGAGAAAAACTGATTTAGCAGCATAGTAGTGTGATAGCTCTGGTGGAGAATTTGGGGTGCTGTGGTGGTAGGTGTATGTGGTAACATACATCTGAAGAGGTGTGACCCTATACCTCTGAGTCATATACAGAACTGTAAACAAACATTACCTCAATAAAAAGTATTATAATAAAAAATTATCATAAAACAAACAAACACGTTTTTCTCAGAATTATATATAAATCAACACTCTTTTGTTAGTGACTGTATGACCTTGAGCAAATCACTTTTGTGAACCCCAATTTTCTCATCTGTAAATGAGGACAATGAGACCTCATTTAGGATTGATGTAAGGATTAAAGGAGATCATGTATATCAAACACTCAAGACATAGTAGCAATAATAATGTGTTAATGTCATCAACCATTATTAACAAAGATTAAAAGTTCTTTAGAAATGGTGAATGAGGAAGGGAGGTTTCTTAAGCATTTATTTTTTAGATTGTTTGTATTATCGTAAGAAAGTTCAACTTTTTTTCCAGTAGCTAGTAGGCCTCACTAATCAAGAACCTTCGAATAGGAGACTCTTAAATCTTTCCCTCCAATACTTCATAACTAGATCTGGAAAGGAAGGATACTGAGCCCTATAATACTATTTTGGAGTAAGAGTCTCAGAGATTTCTATCTATGTGTACGCACAATGAAGCTGCACTCCACCCTCCTTTTCTAGATGTCAAGTTTCTAAGTATCAATGAGACAAGAAGAGTCTTACCGTAGAATTACACCACAAACACCGGAAATCTTGAAGTCTTTGGTAACTGCCACAGTTCTCATGACAAACTGCACATTGAGAACTGATAGACAAGTTTCCTTCTACCCACTGATGGGGCATAGTTTTCTGAAGGGTAAAAGAGACAAGAGGTAAAAGTTAGAGATAAAAGGGAAGGAAGGGCCTGCTGGCGTAACTATACCCTACGGAGGACATTAGGTAATTTCAAGGACATTCATGGTCCTGCCCTCCTGTAGGGTAAGGTAAAAAATCAGGCTTTTCTGCCCTCCCGCCATCAGGATAGATGAGGGAACCCTGTGATCCTGAATGCATGCCTGATGGCGGGCACCTGAAGTGGGTACACCTGGGCTAAGACTGCGCTTTTAAGGGCGGCGTCACGGGGACGCCAGGAGAAGCCGAAGCAGAAGCCGAAAGAGAAGCCGAGAAGCAGCAGAACGAACGCTAGGGAGCCCAGATAGAGTGAAGACCTGCCAGGCCTCCCAGCCCCCGGCCAGCACCCCTGCCTGCCATATGCCTGGTGAACCCCAATAAAAGACCGGCAAAAAACCACTGAGGACTCTGACTCCTCCTTTACCCGGTCTGCATGGGATCAGAAAACCTGCTCAGTGGTCCAGTCCTGCCCTTACACCTCCCCACTCCAATGCCAGTGACAGGTGGGGGTGGGTGGGCTTTCATTCTTCTATAAATTGGTTGGATTGTGAACTTGGGTTGCCTGGAAACAGTAAAGAAGATTTTCTGCCTCTGTATGTCCTGGGGAAGGGCGACAGTGAAAGGGCACGGCTGGCACTCACTATTTCATCAGCAGGCAGAAGGAGGTCATCAGTGATAGACAAAGTATTCCACTTGCAATCTTTGCTAGCTCTCAAAGCACATAATCTGTGAGACTTCACTTTGCACACTGTGAAAAGAGGAAAAGATGGGTGTGAACATGGTAACAATGAAGATTTAATTTCCTTTCCTAAACTGCTCTGAAAATTAGAATATAGATGCAAAAGCCTCTTTCCTATATGATCCAGTTCCTTTTCACTCTTACTAGTTACATTTTTTACTATCCAACCAGAGTGGAAACTGAGGGTAAGAATGAGATGACTTCTGTTTCCCAAGCCTTGTGACTATATTGTCCAGTCCTCCCAGACTCAACCCTTCATTTTGATTCATGACAATTCTTCATGCCAGTTTTCTTCCATCTCCTTTCCCAGACTGTTAATTGTCAGGATTAACCTTACACTAGACTTCAGTGACTTAGTGTGAATCAGTGATACTAAAGCCACAGGAGCTCTTTCAACCCTAACCCCACCCTCTGGGCCTCACTTCCTAAAGGAATCAGAAAGGTACCTTCACAGACGATGACATTTCTAGATAAGGCAGGAATGCTCTCCCGACAAATATTGCAGTGCTGCGTCCGGGGGCTGTGACTGGAGTACCAATAGTGCATCCCAACGAGGAAAGGATTGTTTTCAGCTGCAGGTATCTTAATTAGTCAAAGAGAAATCAAAGAGAAAACAGAGAATTAATCACAGAGCTTTAATAGGGAAGAGCCAGAGACTCTTCTCCTGAGGCTGAAACGGCCAGCTACAGCTGTGTAGGTGTCAGAGCATGTGAAAAGGAAGATTGGAAGTTGGAGCCATTAGTTAACAAATCTCCCACTTAATTTTTCCCCATTGCTTTTGGAAAGGAAAAAAAGAAAGCGGGGGAGGGGCAAGACACTGGAATGGGAGCTGAAATTAGAAAACAATGATCTTTGTACTGTTTGGTAAGACCACTACATTGATTTAGTGTAAGCAAAATTAGTTCTGCTAGCCATGGACTTGGCTCTATTTAAGTATTAAGCATAAGGAGGTGGTGACTTGGAAACTCCGTGATATTTACGTCCTCTGTTCAGGCAAAATGGGAGGAGGAAGGGCTCAAGGAATGCTTGTAAGATTTTAGCTACGTCCTGGAGATATCCATTCCCCTTCCAATCCTTGCTGCCAGGTGAGCAGAACATCACCTTACTTGGACAGCAGTTTTTCATCTCAATGGCTTCTTGACCAAACATTCTTTTCTGAATTCCATGCTCTGACTGCCTATTGCAGTTTTCCAGTCAATCACTTTAATTCATTTAAAATTCATTAAACAAATATTTACTGAGTAACTACTACATTCTTGGCACCTTGCAAAGCATTGGGGATACAGTGATGACCAATACGATGTCCCTGCCCTCACGGAATGGCAATCTGTTTGGTGGTATCTTTCATGGCATTGACCTTGACATTTATAGTTAACCTGCCTATAAATGCTACATTTGTTTATTACAGCTTGACTCTCATGACTGTAGCGCTTACCAGCAACTAGTTTGGGGGTTTAAAGAACAAGAGTACAAGTTGGTCTGGGCATACATTCCATAGACTTTTCAACATTTCCTCTAATTCCTGTGAATATCTGCTTTTCTCCTTTACCTTCCTCTGGTATGTAGACATAGGCATACATATTCAGCATTTTATTCTTGACATTAAAATGGGTTGAGTGTGTAAAGGCATGACAAAATTTTAAAGAACTATATATTCTTCCCGATGGCAGCTAAGAGCAGTCCATTAGAGAGGGGGAGTTACTGGAACATTAAGTGTTATACCTTTATCAAATTTTGAGGAATTAGCCATCTAAAACATAGCCTGCACATAGCAGTCTGATCTCTCCTTCGCCTTTTTGGTATGCTGGCTATGTGCGAAGCTGCTGTCTGACTGACCAGGAAGCTTCTAGAAATAAAAGCTACTTTGAAGAACTAAAGACTTGCCTGTTCTGGAATCCCTTGTAACTGTAATGTTTATTGCATGCCGAGAAACTGGGAAGCTTTAAGATCAGAATGAAGGGTAGGGAGGCCTGAGGAAATTACATAGTTTTGGCCTTGGCACACTGAGCTCCTTCTACTTCCCAAGTCACTAGATTATAATAAGGACTTTTCTTCCTTTCAACCACCTCCCCATCTCTAGTAATTATTAAGAGTGTACTTTGTGTCATCTATGAAGTTAGGCACTAGAGATATAGAGATGAATATAGCCCACAGGCCTTGTCCTCCAAGAGATCATAGTGTAGTTGAGGATACAACTTCCTAAACAGGTCGTCAGAACAGAATGACAAGTGGAGGAAATGCAGAACTTTTCCTGGGTTAGAATATTGAATTTCATTGTCTAATTAGCTACAGAATATAAAATAATATGTAAAATGGAAATTGTTTTGGTTCAGAAGTTGAGGAGATAGGGTTTATATTCTTTTTTTTTAAAGATTTATTTATTTATTTATTCATTCATTCATTTATACAAGCACTGGGTACAGTCAGAAGCGCAGAAGGGTGAGAGGATTCACCAGAGCCAGAGTGGGGAACAAAACAGGCAGACTGACGAAATACACTGCTGAGGGGAGCAGCGGGTGTGGCAGGAGAAGTCTCCGCGCCATGTGGGACCCTCGCCGGTGGCCGGGAATCACACTGGCGCTGCAGAGGCTGCAGGCAGCTTTGCAGCCCAGTGCTCAACCACTGCACCACCAAGGGAGGCCCAGGGTTTATATTCTTTATGTGCATATTATTCTATAAGGAAACTTTGATGGGTCCAACTTTGGGTAACTTTTGCTATGTGTTGAATTGTGTTCTCTCCCCAAAATATGTTTATGTCCTAACCTGGGTACCTGTGAATGTAACCTTATTTTGGAAATAGGGTCCTTACAGATGTAATCAACTTAAAATGAGTTGAATGGACCCTAGTACAATAACTGGTGTCCTTATAAGAGGAGTGTAATTTAGAGATATAGGGGGAGAACATCATTTGATGATAGAGATGGAAGTTGGAGTGGTAAATAAATAAATGCCAAGGAATGTCTGCAATCACCAGAAGCTAAGACGAGGCAAACAAGAGTCCTCCTCCAGGGCTTTCAGAGAGAGTATGGCCTTGATGACACTTTAATTTTGGACTTAGAGACTCCAGAACTGTGAGAATATGTTTCTGTTATTTTAATTTACACAGATTGTAGTAATATAGCCAGATTGGCAGTTAGGGTTTCATCATATGACTTTGGGGGTACAATTTAGTCTATAGCAGAGCTATTAAGTAAATGTCCCTAGAGCTTCAATATTTGGAAAATTATCAGCCTATCCATATTGCAAAAAAAAAAAGTGTGTTGGAGAGAGAGTAGTAAAGGCAAACTTTCGCTGGTGGGATTAGGCATGTGACTCATGATCTCAATTATCTCCGCAGAAACACTGCCAGCTTGGACTGAAGGGCAAAGACACAGAACAAAATGAAGGATGGATATCAGACTTCTGGATTCCATAGGCAGAAAACAGGCTGATAGAGCCTCATGACTGTGAAGAAAATGGGAGAATGTATTATCCTGTAAGAAAATGGAAGAATGATTCCAAGGGGGCTCAGAGCCAGCAGGGATCTTGAGGGTGGTTCAGAGACCAGAGGTACTGGACCTGCCACTGTAGATGCAGAAAATTCAGGCATGGGGTGGGGGTCTCTGCCTCCTTGGTTATATGTGGAGGAGTTGCCACCCTGTAGGCTGAGAGAGTGGGGTCAGAAGAAACATCAGGCCACAGAAAATCCTCCTCCTCCTCCTCATCATCATCACAGTGTTCTGGTTGTGATGATGATGAGGAGGAGGAGGAGGAGGATTTTCTGTGGCCTGAAAATCTAATGGAGTTTACCTTGCTACGCTTTCAACTTATTTTAAACCAGTAATCCTTATATTACTTCCATTTTCTCTCTTTCAGGAGATGTCTACACTGTGCTTGTTCCAACATTATCTATTAGAAGCAGATAACTTGTTTTCTGTCTCCACAAGTCCGCAGACGGATGGATTTTACGGAAAAGTCTCATCCATACCAACTTTAGATGATCTGGAAGGTAAAATTTTGAACTAAGAGTTAATGCTGGACTGGGTGAAATCTTTTGGGGACTAACATCCCATCCTAACAGATGGGGCAGATATATTTTCCTTGTAGGAAGAACATGAATTTTGAGGTGCCAATGGGGGGCCTTTAGTGGATTTAATTGTGTCTGCCCCAAAATATGTTCTCGTCTTAACCCCCAGGACCTATTAATGTGATCTGATTTGGAACTAGGGTCTTCAGAGGTATAATTAATTTATTTTTTTATAATAGAGCATGTTTTATTTATTTATTTGTTTGTTTGTTTATACATGCACTGGGTACAGTCAGAAGCGCGGGAGGGTGAGAGAATTCACCAGAGCCAGAGCGGAGAGCAGAACAGGCAGAAAGACCGAAGTACACTGCTGAGGGGAGCAGCGGGCGGCAGGAGAGGTCTGCACACCATGTGGGACCCTCCTCCGGTGGCCGGGGAGCAGCCGGGGATCGAACCGGCGCCGCAGAGGCCGCGGGCAGCTTCGCAACCCAGTGCTTAACCGCTGTGCCACCGGGGAGGCCCGGTATAATTAATTTAAATTAAGGTACTGGATTAGAGGGGGTCCTATTCCAATGACTGGTGTCTTTATAAAATTAGGGAAATTTGGACACAAATGCACACAGAGAGGAGAGCACCATGTTGAAATACAGAGCACACAGACACAGGGGACACCACCATGTGATGATGGAGGCAGAGGTTGGAGTGATGTTTCTGTAAGTCAAGGAATACCAAGGAATGTCTGTCACCAGAAGCTGAGAGAGGCAATTAAGGATCCTCCCAATCAGAGAGACCATGGCCTTGACACTTCGATTTTGGACTTCTGGACTACAGAACTATAAGAGAGTAAGTTTCTGTTGTTTGAATGTATCCAGTTTGTGGTAATTTGTTATGGCAGTCCTAGAAAACTAATATGGTATGTCATTATAAGCCTTTCTAGTTGTTGACAGAGATTAAAATTCATTTTGAAGATGGATTAAAAACTGGTGTATATACAAACCACTGATCTCAATGCTAAGGAAGGCAGTTTGACTTAAGACTTTTTTTTTTTTTAAAGATTTATTTATTTATTTATACAAGCACTGGGTACAGTCAGAAGCACGGGAGGATGAGAGAATTCACCAGAGCCAGAGGGTAGAGCAGAGCAGGCAGATTGACAAAATACACTGCTGAGGGGAGCAGCGGGTGGCAGAAGAGGTCTGCACACCATGTGGGACCCTCGGCGGTGGCCGAGGATCGAACCGGCGCTGCAGAGGCTGCGGGCAGCTTTGCAACCCAGCGTTCAACCACTGCGCCACCGAGGAGGCCCTGACTTAAGCCTTTTAGTGTGTGTTTGCTGGGCTCTGTGTTTGATTTTGATCCTTTCTAAAATACTTAAGTGAATACATTTTTGCAGAGACCTTCATTCCAGTCAGATTCTTCAATGTTTTAGGTCAGCTAAGGCTGTTTTCTCCATCTCCTGATTTCCTTGCAGCACAATCCAGAAAACAGATAGGTAAATTAATTTATTGTTTATTAGTTAAAGGAGACCTTGTTACTCCAGATGTTTTGTAAAAACTCAATCACTATCCAAACAACT